AGCAGCCATACCCTATAATGTATAGCAGCCATACCCTATAATGTATAGCAGCCATACCCTATACTGTATAGCAGCCATACCCTATACTGTATATAGTGATATTTTTGGAATTTGGTCAGGATTCGACTCCTGGTATCATATGAACAAACATAAGACATGGAAAATGTGTAGAATTGCAGGAAATTAGCTTTAAAACTGCACATTTTTCTCTCTGCCAACAAGAGGGATGTGAACAGTTTGGGGTCGCATGGGTTGCGAGGTGGGGGTTTGTTACTACACCAATAAATGACATTATCCATGTGACCGGACCTTCTCAAATATATTGAACAAAAATATAAACGCAACATGCAACAACTTCAACGATTTTACTGAGTTACAGTTCAAATAAGGAAAATAGTCAATTGAAATAAATTCATTAGGCCCTAATCTATGGATGTCACATGACTGGGCAGGGGCGCAGCCATGGGTTGGCCTGGGAGGGCATAGGCCCACCCACTGGGGAGCCAGGTTCAGCCAATCAGAATTAGTTTTATACCAACCTAATTGACAGAGTGAAAAGAAGGAAGCCTGTACAGAATACAAATATTCCAAAACATGCATCCTGTTTGCAACAAGGCACTAGAGTAATACTTCCCCACAAAAGGGCTTTATTACAGACAGAAATGCTCCTCAGTTTCATCAGCTGTCCGGGTGGCTGGTCTCAGACGATTCCGCAGGTGAAGAAGCCGGATGTAGAGGTCCTGGGCTGGCGTGGTTACACGTGGTCTGTGGTTATGTGGCCGGTTGGATGTACTGCCAAATTCTCTAAAATGACGTTGGATGCGGCTTATGGTAGAGAAATGAACATTCAATTATCTGGCAACAGCTCTGGTCGACATACCTGCAGTCAGCATGCCAATTGCAGGCTCCCTCAAAACTTGAGACATCTGTGGCATTGTGTTGTGTGACAAAACTGCACATTTTAGAGTGGTCTTTTATTTTCCCAGCACAAGGTGCACCTGTGTAATGATCATGCTGTTTAATCAGCTTCTTGATATGCCACACCTGTCAGGTGGATGGATTATTTTGGCAAAGTAGAAATGCTCACTAACCGGGATCTAAATAAATTTGTGCACAAAATGTAAAAGAAATAAGCTTTTTGTGCATATGAAAAATGTCTGTGATCTTTTATTTCAGCTCATGAAACATGGGACCAACACTTTACATGTTGCCTTTCGATTTTTGTTCAGTACAGTATTTGAGTACCCCAGCTGTGTATACGTTGCACGAGGGTGCACAGCTGTTTGCCGAAGCCAGGTGGGAGGTATAGGTAGCCTAATTAACCGCCTTGAGATGCTCCTCACTCACTTACTACAACCACATAAAGTTTATTATGAGTAAACTGAATTACTTCCCTTGGCAGTGTGAAAGTGCTCCATGGCAGTTGCCTATATATGAATTCATGGAAACATACTTCCTGTTTTCCCTTAGAAGACTTCACGTTTCTTCCAAAAATGCACTAGTTCATTCGGTTCAGGCTTCATAGTTGGTAACACAGTGGCAAAACCACGGATAGCCTACGTTGTAGCTGCTATTTTCGACTTGTCAATACTTTAACAACTATGAAAGCGAATAAACCTAAACGTTCTATAAACTGTCTCGAACAAAGTATAAAACTTGTACACAAACTAAACACCTGAGAAAAATTATGTAGGCACTTACCGTACTTGTGGACCATGGTGTGTAGAAAAATATTTTGAGGACTACTATTCTAGGCAATCCGAAAACGAAACCCACACACCAGAAGAAAAAAGTTGAAGTTCGGCGTAGAATGTTGTACCGTTATTCTCCACCAAAACAACTGTAATCCTGACCACCAAAACAGACACTCCCAAATTCGCTCTACACTGAACTGTTACATTAACCGTAGAAGTAGCAGGACACTTGGCACGAGAAGGGTTCCATGTGAAGTTCCCGGGATTTCTGCTGAAAAAGTGAAAGTGTTTAAATGCGTCACGGGTCGCGCCCTCGGCCCCTCGCCTAAACATGTGATCACTGTATAGGAGAGTCTGTAGCCCATCCATGGGGATGTATCACTGTATAGCAGTCTGTAGCCCACCCATGGGGATGTATCACTGTTTAGCAGTCTGTAGCCCACCCATGGGGATGTATCACTGTATAGCAGTCTGTAGCCCACCCATGGGGATGTATCACTGTATAGCAGTCTGTAGCCCACCCATGGGGATGTATCACTGTATAGCAGTCTGTAGCCCAACCATCAAATCAAATCAAATTGTATTTGTCACATACACGTGTTTAGCAGATGTTATAGCGGGTGTAGCGAAATGCTTGCTTTTCTAACTCCGACAGTGCAGTAATATCTAACAAGTAATAATTAACAATTTCACAACATATACCTAAAACACACAAAACTAGTAAGGAATGGGATTTAAGAATATATACATATATGGACAAGCAATGACAGAGCGGCATGGACTAAGATACAGTAGAATATTATAGAATAGAATGCAGTATATACATATGAGATGAGTAGTGCAAGATATATAAACATGATTAAAGTGACTAGTGTTCCATTTCTTAAAGTGGCCAGTGATTTCAATATGCAGCAGCAGCCTCTAATGTGCTAGTGATGGCTATTTAACAGTCTGATGGCCTTGAGATAGAAGCTGTTTTTCATTCTCTCGGTCCCAGCTTTGAGGCACCTGTACTGACCTCGCCTTCTGGATGATAGCGGGGTGAACAGGCAGTGGCTCGGGTGGTTGATGTCCTTGATGATCTTTTTGGCCTTCCTGTGACATCGGGTGCTGTATGTTTCTTGGAGGGCGGGTAGTTTGCCCCCGGTAATGCGTTCGGCAGACCGCACCACCCTCTGGAGAGCCCTGCGGTTGCGGGCAGTGCAGTTGCCGTACCAGGCGGTGATACAGCCCAACAGGATGCTCTCAATTGTGCATCTGTAAAAGTTTGTGAGGGTTTTAGGTGCCAAGCCGAGTTTCTTCAGCCTCCTGAGGTTGAAGAGGCTCTGTTGCACCTTCTTCACCACACTGTCTGCGTGGGTGGACCATTTCAGTTTGTCGGTGATGTGTACGCCAAGGAACTTGAAGCTTTCCACCCTCTCCACTGCGGTCCCGTCGATGAGGATAGGGGGGTGCAACCTCTGCTGTTTCCTGAAGTCCACGATCATCTCCTTTGATTGGTTAATGTTGAGTGAGAGGTTATTTTCCTGGCACCACACTCACAGAGTCCTCACCTCCTCCCTGTAGGTGGTCTCGTCATTGTTGGTAATCAAGCCTACTACTGTTGTATCGTCTGCAAACCTGATGATTGAGTTGGAGGCGTGCTTGGCCACGCAGTCATGGGTGAACAGGGAGTACAGGAGGGGGCTGAGCACACACCCTTGTGGGGCCCCAGTGTTGAGGATCAGCGAAGTGGAGATGCTGTTTCCTACCTTCACCACCTGGGGGCGGCCCATCAGGAAGTCCAGGACCCAGTTGCACAGGGCGGGGTTCAGACCTAGGGCCTCGAGCTTAATGATGAGCTTGGCGGGTACTATGGTATTGAATGCTGAGCTATAGTCAATGAACAGCATTCTTACATAGGTATTCCTCTTGTCCAGATGGGATAGGGAAGTGTGCAGTGTGATGGCGATTGCATCGTCTGTGGATCTATTGGGGCGGTAAGCAAATTGGAGTGGGTCTAGGGTGACAGGTAAGGTAGAGGTGATATGATCCTTGACTAGTCTCTCAAAGCACTTCATGATGACAGAGGTGAGTGCTACAGGGCGATAGTCATTTAGTTCAGTTGCCTTTGCTTTCTTGGGTATAGGAACAATGGTGGCCATCTTGAAGCATGTGGGAACAGCAGACTGGGAAAGGGAGAGATTGAATATGTCCGTACACACACCAGCCAGCTGGTCTGCGCATGCTCTGAGGACGCGGCTAGGGATGTCGTCTGGGCCGGCAGCCTTGCGAGGGTTAACACGCTTAAATGTCTTACTCATGTCAGCCAGGGGATGTATCACTGTATAGGTCTCTGTAGCCCACCCATGGGGATGTGTGTCTATAGACAGCATGCACCGACAAATTCCTTGTCATTAAAACATACGTTCAGGTTTTTGTGGGATCATTTTGCTAGACTAAAATCATAATTTCCATCATCTTCATCATTCATCTCTGCTAATTCTGTTCTCATGATCTGATGACACCTGTATATTGCTTTGTTTGTTGTCTGTGTTCTATGTTCTGTGTTTTGGATTGTTTTTATTATTTTTAGGATTATTTATAGTGTTTATTTTTCTTGTCTCTTGGTGTGAGAAAAGCGCTTTACAAATTAAATGTATTATTATTATTATTATTATTATCATCTTCATAATCTTCATCTTCATCATCGTCATCATATCCACCACCAACAACCCGATTATTATCATCAATATCACCAAGGAACAATTACCTTCGGTTCCCACTTTTTCAAATAGCCAACCAAAAATACTCAATAGTTTGACACTTCAAATTTGACCATGGCACAAACATTTGGTTACTTCTGCCATCTAATGGTTGTAGAAGAGACTTTTTTATTTTCTCTTTTTTTTTAGTCATTTAGCAGACGCTCTTATCCAGAGCGACTTACAGTTAGTGAATACATATACATATATTTTTTTTTACTGGCCCCCGTGGGAAACGAACCCACACCCCTGGCGTTGCAAACGCCATGCTCTATCAACTGAGCTACATCCCTGCCGACCATTCGCTCCCCTACCCTGGACGACGCTGGGCCAATTGTGCGCCGCCCATGAGTCTCCCGGTCGCGGCCGGCTGCGACAGAGCCTGGATTCGAACAAGGATCTCTAGTGGCACAGTTATGCAGTGCCTTAGACCACTGCGCCACTCAGGAGAGTTGCCAAGGAGTAGCACCTGCAGCAACTGAACCCAACACATTCCAAGGTGTTACTGCATTTTGTTTTGTTATTCACACAGACAAATAAATCATCATAACATGTTTTTTTTCTGACACACACACTCTCTCTCTCACGCACACACCTACTCACTCACGCACGGGTGCGCGCGCTCACACACACGGGCGCGCGCACACACACATTCTCTCATGCGTTCACACAAGCACACACAGACGTGTCAAATACGGATATGATTTTATCAAAAATATGATATAAGATGATTTTTGATCATTTTGTAAATCTCTCATTCAGAATGTAACCCCCAGTGGAAATAGTGCTGACATTTATCAGTGAACACAACACCAGTAGTTTCCAAATAAGACTAAACTTCATGTATACAGTGTATATAAAAAAAAAAATACAGTGTCACACAAACATTTTCTATAGGAAAACCCTATTTACAAATGGTCACAAAAAGCATCTAAAATATATTGAAATAAAATGACTATGAAATGACTTCTTGAATTAAAAGCAAATAAAATGGCCATCCTAGGGCAACATGTGGATGTGGTATTTGCATCTTTGTTCATAAATTCTCATGATGAATGTAAAATGTACTTTATGCATGTGAACCACACATTCTTTTGATACTGTCTTTTCAATTAGCCTAATTACTTCCTGATTCAAGGCTGAGCCATACAGATGGTAAGGTGGGGTGGGGTGGATTTCTGGATCCAGGCTGAACTATTCAGAGGGTAAGAAGGGGGATAGTTCTCTCTGATTCCAGGCAGAAAATCCCTTTATTTGCTTTTTCCCTGTAGAGATAATCAGACACAAACAATTATTCCACTTACTCATTATAGGATGTCTCTTTACATGATGCCCTTGTGTCCTAGTTTATAGGATCATAAGCACAAATACAGCAGTTGTTTTCTTTGCATGTCATTAATGCAACCAAAACACTAAACATTTAATTATTTACACCATCAAAACAAGAATGAAATGTATTACAGTAAGAGAGCGTGGTATAATCCTTATATATCAGTCCCATATCAAAGTTAACAATAGCTATCATAAAGATTCATCATACAAGATACATACAGTGCCTTCAGAAAGCATTCACACCCCTTTAATATTTCCACATTTGATTGTTACAGCCTGAATTTTAAATTGATTACATTTAGATTTGTTTTTATCACTGACCTATACACAATACCCCATAATGTAAAAGTGGATTTTTAGTTTTTTTTAGTTTTTACAAATTAATTAAAAATGAAAAGCTGAAAATATTCAACCCCTTTGTTATGGCTTAACCAGTTTCATAATAAGTTGCATGCACTCAATCTGTGTGCAATAATAGTGTTTAAAATTATTTTTGAATGACTACCTCATCTCTGTACCCCACACATACAATTATCTGTAAGGTCCCTCAGTTGAGCAGTGAATTTCAAACAAAGATTAAACCACAAAGACCAGGGAGGTTTTCCATTGCCTCACAAAGAAGGGCACCTATTGGTAGATAGGTAATTAAGTAAAAAAAAGCAGACATTGAATATTCCTTTAAGCATGGTGAAGTTATTAATTACACCTAATTCAGTTGCCTGAGATGAAGGAAACCGCTCAGGGATTTCACCATGAGGCCAATGGTGACTTTAAAACCGTTACAGAGTTTAATGGCTGTGACAGGAGAAAATTGAGGATGGATGAACAACATTGTAGTTACTCCACTATACCAACCTAATTGACAGAGTGAAAAGAAGGAAGCCTGTACAGAATACAAATATTCCAAAACATGCATCCTGTTTGCAACAAGGCACTAGAGTAATATTTCCCCACAAAAGGGCTTTATTACAGACATAAATGCTCCTCAGTTTCATCAGCTGTCCGGGTGGCTGGTCTCAGACGATTCCGCAGGTGATGAAGCCGGATGTAGAGGTCCTGGGCTGGCGTGGTTAACATGTGGTCTTTGGTTATGAGGCCGGTTGGATGTACTGCCAAATTCTCCAAAATGACGTTGGATGGCGGCTTATGGTAGAGAAATTAACATTCAATATCTGGCAACAACTCTGGTGGACATACCTGCAGTCAGCATGCCAATTGCATGCTCCCTCAAAACTTGAGACATCTGTGGCATTGTGTTGTGTGACAAAACTGCACATTTTAGAGTGGTCTTTATGTTGCACAAGCCAGGTGTGGAAAGCTTACCCAGAAAGACTCACAACTGTAATCGCTGCCAAAGGTGCTTCTACAAAGTATTGACTCAGGGGTGTGAATACGTTTGTAAATTAGATATTTCTGTATTCGTTTTCCATAAATGTGCAAACATTTCAAAAAAATATGTTTCACTTTGTCATTATGGGGTATTGTGTGTAGATGGGTGATGAAAAATATATATATATAATCAATTTTGAATTCAGGCTGTACCACAGCAAAATGTGGAATAAGTCAAGGGGTATGAATACTTTCTGAAGGCATTGTAGATGGCAATTATCTTAGTAGTTAGTACCGTACATAATTACTGTAAACATTGCAAAAAAGGGGAACAATTTGAATTTTTCCATATTGATTATATTGATCATCAATGTCTACTAGAAAAACCCACCTTTAGCATGACTGAGACAGCACCTTTTTCAAAGCAGAAGAGTAAAGTGAACAAATCAAGTCTTAAAATTCCAAAGACTGTTTCCATTGTCTTTTACAGACAATGGTAGTGCGCTACTCACCTCTGTAAGATGAAAACTGCAAACATTATGAGCAATGACACCAGGTCCACTGTGATCCATATAATTCTGTATATATCAGGTCTCTGAAACACACACAGACACACACATATAGTAAGTACCAGCAAACCTAGTAGGTACACTACCGGTCAAACGTTTTAGAACACCTACTCATTCAAGGGTTTTTATTTATTTTTACTATTTTCTACATTGTAGAATAATAGTGAAGACATCAAAACTATGAAATAACAAATATGGAATCATGTAGTAACCCAAGAAGTGTTAAACAAATGAAAATGTATTTTATATTTGAGATTCTTCAAATAACCACCCTTTGCCTTGATGACAGCTTTGCACACTATTGGCATTCTCTCAACCAGCTTCATGAGGTAGTCACCTGGAATGCATTTAAATTAACAGGTGTGCTTTCTTAAAGTTAATTTGTGGAATTTCTTTCCTTCTTAATGCGTTTGAGCCAATCAGTTGTGTTGTGACAAGGAAGGGGGGATATACAGAAGATAGCCCTATTAGGTAAAAGACCAAGTCCATATTATGGCAAGAACAGCTCAAATAAGCAATGAGAAATGACAGTCCATCATTACTTTAAGACATGAAGGTCAATCAATATGGAACATTTCAAGAACTTTGAACGTTTCTTCAAGTGCAGTCGCAAAAACCATCAAGCGCTATGATGAAACTGGCTCTCATGAGGACCGCCACAGGAATGGAAGACCCAGAGTTACCTCTGCTGCAGAGGATAAGTTAATTAGAGTTACCAGCCTATGAAATTGCAGCCCAAATAAATGCTTCACAGAGTTCAAGTAATAGACATATCTCAACATCAACTGTTCAGAGTAGACTGTGTGAATCAGGCCTTCATGGTCGAATTGCTGCAAAGAAACCACTACTAAAGGACACCAATAATAAGAAGAGACATGCCTGGGCCAAGAAACACGAGCAATGGACATTAGACCAGTGGAAATGTGTCCTTTGGTCTGGAGTCCAAATGTGAGATTTTTGGTTGCAACCGCTGTGTCTTTGTGAGACGCGGTGTGGGTGAACGGATGATCTCCGCATGTGTATTTCCCACTGTAAAGCATGGAGGAGGAGGTGTTATGGTGTGGGGGTGCTTTGCTCGTGACTGTGTCTGTGATTTATTTAGAATTCAAGGCACACTTAACCAGCATGGCTACCACAGCATTCTGCAGCGATACGCCATCCCATCTGGTTTGGGCTTAGTGGGACTATCATTTTTTCCCCCCAATAGGACAATGTCCCAAAACACAGCTCCAGGCTGTGTAAGGGCTATTTTACCAAGAAGGAGAGTGATGGAGTGCTGCATCAGATGACCTGGCCTCCACAATCCCCCGACCTCAACCAAATTGAGATGGTGTGGGATGAGTGGGACTGCAGAGTGAAGGAAAGTCAGCCAACAAGTGCTCAGCATATGTAGGAACTCCTTCAAGACTGTGGGAAAAGCATTCCAGGTGAAGCTGGTTGAGAGAATGCCAAGAGTGTGCAAAGCTGTCATCAAGTCAAAGGGTGGCTATTTGAAGAATCTCAAACATAAAATATGAATTGATTTGTTTAACACTTTTTTGGTTACTACATGATTCCATATGTGTTATTTCATAGTTTTGATGTCTTCCTTATTATTCTACGATGTAGAAAAAAATAAAAAAATAAAGAAAAACCCTTGAATGAGTAGGTGTTCTAAAACTTTTGACCAGTAGTGTACATTTATACAACCCATAGATGGCGCACAAGATGAAAAACTCGTGAGAAAATGTCAAGTTCAATGCTACACATGGATATCATAATATATGCTAGCTAATGTTTAAAAGCAATATTGACTTTGTGAGAATTACAATGTCAGGGTGGGGTGATCTGGTTGACCGTTGAAGAGGGAGTGACTATGGGAAAGTGAAGAAGAGGGGGTTTGATGTGAGTCCCTCACCATTGTCCAGTCAGGCTGGGACATGTCCTTTAGGAGGGAGCAGGCGTTGGTGGTCACAGAGCTGGCCCCCGAGCACCACAGCAGAGAGAAGAGCCATGGTTCATTCACCACCCACAGGTTCACCGTCACGTTCCTGTTCCGAAGCTCCCTGTCTCACACAAACACACAAAAATACAAGTTCAGTAGCGAATTAAAAGATTAGGTGAAAGAGCTGGCTCAGATCAGCAACATATAATTAGTAGTAGGAGTGATCAATCATACTGTAAGATGTCATACTATTAAAGGACACATCATGCTTGTTCAGACAACACTTTCCCATCATCTTTGAGCTGTTTGTTTTCACTAAATCAACAGACACTATCATCCCATGAGGAACGTTCACTACTGGGCTCTCAGCCATTAAAAATCCACCTGTGCGAAAACATGATTTTAGTCTCATTCCCCCCTGAGGCATTGTGGCATTGTGTCTGTCTCAGTCTAAGATAGTGCCATTTTCTTGTCTCAGCACGCCAACATAAATACTTTTAATTTTGTAACCACTACACCTGCAGCTGTCAATCAGCCCAGGTGGAATGTGGTTCTGGAACTAAAGCATTGAGAAAAGCGTGGGAACTTTGAGGTAGGCTACTCACCCGATCTCTGCGGTGCTCAACGCACTGTATTTGACATTCAGATAATCTGCACCGTCACGGTTCATATCAGACACAGTGTTGTAGACCTGCTTGAACCCTGGTGCGATCTCCCTCACATACTCCCTGTGTTTAGGGGGAAGCCAGAGGATCTAAAGAGAGAAGAGACACACTGTCAAACAACTGCAATAAGAGTATAACTACACAGAACTGGTGAAGTAGTGATCCTGATAGAGATTCCACTCACCAGGTCTTGGGGGATGCTAGAGTTGAGGATGGTGTTCACAGTGTCGTTAGTGTCATTGTTGTCGTCATTCTTCAAGTCAAAGATGACAGAGGTGTTATGAGTCTTGGCCAGGTCCAGCAGCTGCAGAAGGGAGGGAACACTCTGGTTCCCAGCTGTCTTCTTCTCCTGCTCTGAGAGCTGGGACACTGAGCGGAATGGATCTGTCTGAAAGGGAGATATCCATAGTATGGATGTCATTATGTCAATGAGTTGGTGTAGTTCAAATTGTAATACACATTTTAAGGATCTACAGTAAATAAGACATGTTCAACTAAACCTAAACTGAAATGAAATGATTTCCAACTAATAATAATTTTGGGGGTGCTTATACTGTGTTTGTCCTGTTACACACAAGGGTGTAATGGAACTGTGTTTCTTTAACATCCCAACTCCCCCTGAGACATCTGCAGGGACTGGGGTCACAGCCAGGGTCACCATTGTACAGTACCCCTGGAGCAATTAGTGTTAACTGTCTTGCTCAAGGGCACAGCGGCACATTTCTCATCTTGTTGCTACACATGGATATGTTCCAGCGACCTTTCGGGTACTGGCCCAACGCTTTAACCTGCCGCCCCACTACAACATACAAGGGAGGCTTGTGAAATTGGATATCACCCTTACCTTCAGGAACCAATCACCAGCGTTTAATTCCTGTAGCTCCTCCCAGGTGAGGTTTGTGCTGTGGTTCAAGTCTTTCCCAGGGAACTTCTGTAGAACATCTGTAGTCCTCCTCAGGAAATGGCTGTTGTGGTCATGCATCAGGTAAGGAACTCTGTCCTTACTGGAGGAGAAAGAATTGTCAACAAACTGCATCTTTGGGTCTTTGAAAAGCGCTATATAAATCCCATGCATCCTTGTTATTATTATTCAACTGAAAACAATTTGAAACAGCAGTGCACTTTTGATCCTTCACAACTCTGCAATGTCTATGCATACAGGAAGCCGCCTTAGTCCCCTGGGTACCTGAGCTGCACGTCCGTCTCGAAGGCGATCACGCCGCACTCCACACTCCTAATGAACGACATCAGGGTGTTCTCTGGGGCCAGCTGAACACAGAGAGAGGACAGATTGGTGAGAAACACTCCTGTGACTACCCTGATGATGTGCGAACACTGAGCCATGCTGCATATGACACAGCTGAGCTGAGTGGGCCTACGGTGGTGATATTGGAGAGGACTAGAGCAACGACTGGACAGAAATTCAAGCTTAAGCCCTCTGATTCACTGGAAATGATGGAAATAGGGATATGTGCACTAACGGTCAAAAGTTTTAGAACACCTACTCATTCAAGGGTTTTTATTTATTTTTACTATTTTCTACATTGTAAAATAATAGTGAAGACATCAAAACTATGAAATAACACATATGGAATCATGTATTAACCAAAAAAGTGTTAAACAAATCAAAATATATTTTATATTTGAGATTCTTCAAATAACCACCCTTTGCCTTGATGACAGCTTTGCACACTCTTGGCATTCTCTCAACCAGCTTCATGAGGTAGTCACCTGGAATGCGTTTCAATTAACAGGTGTGCCTTCTTAAAGTTAACTTGTGGAATTTCTTTCCTTCTTAATGCGTTTGAGCCAATCAGTTGTGTTGTGACAAGGTAGGGGGGATATACAGAAGATAGCCCTATTTGGTAAAAGACCAAGTCCATATTATGGCAAGAACAGCTCAAATAAGCAAAGAGAAACGACAGTCCATCATTACTTTAAGACATGAAGGTCAATCAATATGGAACATTTCAAGAACTTTGAAGGTTTCTTCAAGTGCAGTCGCAAAAACCATCAAGCGCTATGATGAAACTGGCTCTCATGAGGACCGCCACAGGAATGGAAGACCCAGAGTTACCTCTGCTGCAGAGGATAAGTTAATTAGAGTTACCAGCCTCAGAAATTGCAGCCCAAATAAATGCTTCACAGAGTTCAAGTAATAGACACATCTCAACATCAACTGTTCAGAGTAGACTGTGTGGAATCAGGCCTTCATGGTCGAATTGCTGCAAAGAAACCACTACTAAAGGACACCAATAATAAGAAGAGACATGCTTGGGCCAAGAAACACAAGCAATGGACATTAGACCAGTGAAAATGTGTCCTTTGGTCTGGAGTCCAAATGTGAGATTTTTGGTTGCAACCGCTGTGTCTTTGTGAGACGCGGTGTGGGTGAACGGATGATCTCCGCATGTGTATTTCCCACCGTAAAGCATGGAGGAGGAGATGTTATGGTGTGGGGGTGCTTTGCTGGTGACTGTGTCTGTGATTTATTTAGAATTCAAGGCACACTTAACCAGCATGGCTACCACAGCATTCTGCAGCGATACACCATCCCATCTGGTTTGGGCTTAGTGGGACTATCATTTGTTTTTCAATAGGACAATGACCCAAAACACAATTCCAGGCTGTGTAAGGGCTATTTTACCAAGAAGGAGAGTGATGGAGTGCTGCATCAGATGACCTGGCCTCCACAATCACCCGACCTCAACCAAATTGAGATGGTGTGGGATGAATGGGACTGCAGAGTGAAGGAAAGTCAGCCAACAAGTGCTCAGCATATGTGGGAACTCCTTCAAGACTGTTGGAAAATCATTCCAGGTGAAGCTGGTTGAGAGAATGCCAAGAGTGTGCAAAGCTGTCATCAAGGCAAAGGGTGGCTATTTGAAGAATCTAAAATATATAATATGTTTTGATTTGTTTAACACTTTTTTGGTTACTACATGATTCCATATGTGTTATTTCATAGTTTTGATGTCTTCCTTATTATTCTACGATGTAGAAAATAGTAAAAAAATAAAGAAAAACCCTTGAATGAGTAGGTGTTCTAAAACTTTTTACCAGTAGTGTACTTAGTGCAATGTAAACAAACACTAATACTAACGTCGTTCTGGGTATATATACATACTGAATCATAACGGATGATTATGGAATTTATGTCAACGGTAAAGTGTAACACATAAGCCATTTTCTGATGATGGTCTTATATCTCTGTCATTAAGTCGTATCCACTGTATGACTAAGGTAGCCAATCACCTTTAGGTACTTTGCATTTTCAGCTTATCACTTTAATATTGAGACCATAGAACCAATGCACGGTATGAGAAATAAAGTGGGCACTTCCTCACCATTGGTGCTCCTCGATGACCAATGAGGTTAGGTTTACGGGGCAGCTGTTCCTTCTCCACCAGACAAGGGGATTGGATGAGTAGGGGGCTGAGGAACATTGCCACTGACACGCCAACAAACACTGCCATGATGAGGATCTTAGAGGCTGGGGGTCAGACAGACACAGGTTAAGAATGAAACAGTCATACTTTAACTATTGTTGTGAATACAAAAAGGCAAGGAAAGAAGATAGTCAACTGCATTGAATTAGTTCATTCAGCTGGTGTATGTATTATCATTCCAGGGTTCACAGAACGAAATTATATTCTATCAATATTGAAATAATATCTATAGGCGTGTACTGTACGTCTCATATTATTGATGTCACGGTGAGTGTTTGTGTATTTTCATTGGACAAGTTCAGTATCAGCACTGACCTACTCTGCGGGTCCTATGGAAGCCCTGGAACACCAGCCAGCTGACCAGGGTCAGGGCTCCAACCCCTCCCATCTGTAGGAACGGAGCGGTGGCCTGAGGGAGATCAATGTTATAAACAGTGTAATACACGTAGCATACTGCTGCCAAGGCCCTGACCCAAAACACACAGGCTTACTACACACCTCACTCTAGCTCCAACATTCTCACACACACACTACACACACACACACACACACACACACACACACACACACACACACACACACACACACACACACACACACACACACTACACACACCTAAAAGACAGTTCCATGGTGCTATACTTTGGCCCTGCTATACCTGTAATGACAGAAGAACAGTGTGCCACTCTTTTCCCCAATTTAGGCTTATTCCAGTGGTGCCCAAGGCGACGAAGACCACTCCTAAAAACAGGAAAAACTGTGCAGAGCAAACCACAACACAATACAATTCAGTCAACACAGGTCAATACCTAAGCTATACATGAAGTTAGTTACTATTGTTAATCAGCCATGCTATTGCCATTCTTGTTATGCCACTATAGCTTTGCTCTTCTTATATAACATGTAAAGGGAAACATTCTAGGAACAAAGAATGTTCCTAATACCTTGTGGAGACTGTGTAAGTCCAAAGGCACTTTCAAGGCAAGTTGGAACAGTGCAAAGACCTGCAATTAAACAGTCATTACAACTCAGCTGATGTGAACATCATACAGTAAATGCATTGACAGGTATATGAATTGTGTCCCTCACCAGTAATAGGGTGCAGTAGATGGTCAGTACAGCAGAGATGATGATTAGCACCATGAACCAGTTCACCCACAGTTTCAGAATGGAAAATACCTTCCTGGTAGGGGACAATAGAGGGTAGGTCACAGGGTTTGAGTCCATCGCTGTCAATGTGTGTGTGTGTGTGTGTGTGTGTGTTTGCGTTTGTGTCTGCAGCTGTATGTGCACACATTCACACACAGAGTGTATGACCAAGCTCACCAGTTGACATCGTCGCGGTCATTGTAAGCCATCAGACAGATGTACATCCAGAACAGCGTGAGGATGGACACAGCGGTAAGGACTGACAACCAGCAGCAGGAGCACTATAGCAAGACGAGACAACTATTACTACTGGATCCCTAAACCTGTTCTCATTTCTACTGACATTGGAAGATCTCATTACTAAACGTATTTGTCAGGAAGACATTTACCTTCCAGGATTTATCTCAGCTATGGTTTGGAAATACATATTCTCTGAGTGTTATTGTATTGCTGGTCAACAAGTGTGTGTGTGTGTTTGTTTGTTTGTGTGTGTGTGTGTGTGTGTACACTGTACATGTGGTGAGTCTGAGGGTATCAGCGGTTAGCTCCCTCAGGGCTGTTGGATTCTCTCCAATGCCTCTTCATGTTTGGTTTCGCCTGCTATTCCATGCAACCACCACACTACATGTAGGGAATAAAAAACACCAGTATCCACCCACCCTTAATTGTCTCCAAACAGAACCCCCACCACCACCTTTGACACTAATGGTTTGTCCCCTTTGTACTTCTGTCCAGTGGTGTAAAGTACTTAAGTAAAAATACTTGAAAGTACTGCTTAAGTAATTTTTTTTGTGGTATCTGTACTTTACTTTACTATTTATATTTTTGTCAACAGAAAATAATGTACTTTTTACTCCATACATTTTCCTTGACACCCAAAAATACTTGTTACATTTTGACTGGAAAATTGTCCAATTCACGCACTTATCAAGAGAACATCCCCGGTCATCCCCATTGCCTCTGATGTGGCGGACTCACTAAACACAAATGCTTTGTTTGTACATTATGTCTGAGTGTTGGAGTGTGCCCCGGGATATCTGTAAATTTAAAACCGTCTGGTTTGCTTAATATAAGGAATTTGAAATGATTTATACTTTTACTTTTACTTTTGATACTTAAGTATATTTGAGCAATTACATTTACTTTTAGACTTTTACTCAAGTAAGTTTTTTACTGGGTGACTTCAACTTTTACTCAAGTAATTTCTATTAAGGTATCTTTACTTTAACTCAAGTATGACAATTGGGTACTTTTTCCCACCACTCGTTCTGTCCCAGATAAGCTTTTACCCAGCCTGTAGGGGCCTGTGAGTTCAGTTCAGCAATTAGTCCTGGCACACATTCACATGCTCTACTGCATTGCAATCTCCCTCTCCCAATTATCCTGCACTTATTTACACAACAGGTCTGAATGAATGGATGCCTCTCCAATAACATCCATACACATCTCATTGGCCTAGGAATAGAGGCTTCCTATTACAGTGGGGGAAAAAAGTATTTAGTCAGCCACCAATTGTGCAAGTTCTCCCACTTAAAAAGATGAGAGAGGCCTGTAATTTTCATCATAGGTACACGTCAACTATGACAGACAAAATGAGAAAAAAAAATCCTTTAGTCAGCCACCAAAAATTGGTGGCTGACTAAATACTTTTTTTCCCCACTGTATACACCCACAGTGAGTTTATAAAGGGGATTAAATCCTCATGCTTCAACTGAATGCTGTCCAATGGAATGCTAATCCCTTATAATCACTGTAAAGCAGGTACAAGAAATTGAACTGTAGAGAAGGCATAAGTAAATTCAAAGCTGAATTCCCTTGGCAATGCCTCAGTGATTGCTGCTGCTGGATGACAATGACGATTTTTATTGCAACACATATCAAAGCCGTGTGAACATTTCCTTGTAGGCCAACTGTAGCTCTGACCTGAGAGAAGTCACTAAAACAACATTTGAGCTACATGGAATTACAGTATACAGTGGGGGGAAAAAAGTATTTAGTCAGCCACCAATTGTGCAAGTTCTCCCACTTAAAAAGATGAGAGAGGCCTGTAATTTTCATCATAGGTACACGTCAACTATGACAGACAAATTGAGAAAAAAAATCCTGAAAATCACATTGTAGGATTTTTAATGAATTTATTTGCAAATTATGGTGGAAAATAAGTATTTGGTCACCTACAAACAAGCAAGATTTCTGGCTCTCACAGACCTGTAACTTCTTCTTTAAGAGGCTCCTCTGTCCTCCACTCGTTACCTGTATTAATGGCACCTGTTTGAACTTGTTATCAGTATAAAAGACACCTGTCCACAACCTCAAACACTCACACTCCAAACCCCACTATGGCCAAGACCAAAGAGCTGTCAAAGGACACCAGAAACAAAATTGTAGACCTGCACCAGGCTGGGAAGACTGAATCTGCAATAGGTAAGCAGCTTGGTTTGAAGAAATCAACTGTGGGAGCAATTATTAGGAAATGGAAGACATACAAGACCACTGATAATCTCCCTCGATCTGGGGCTCCACGCAAGATCTCACCCCGTGGGGTCAAAATGATCACAAGAACGGTGAGCAAAAATCCCAGAACCACACGGGGGGACCTAGTGAATGACCTGCAGAGAGCTGGGACCAAAGTAACAAAGCCTACCATCAGTAACACACTACGCCGCCAGGGACTCAAATCCTGCAGTGCCAGATGTGTCCCCCTGCTTAAGCCAGTACATGTCCAGGCCCGTCTGAAGTTTGCTAGAGTGCATTTGGATGATCCAGAAGAGGATTGGGAGAATGTCATATGGTCAGATGAAACCAAAATATAACTTTTTGGTAAAAACTCAACTTGTCGTGTTTGGAGGACAAAGAATGCGGAGTTGCATCCAAAGAACACCATACCTACTGTGAAGCATGGGGGTGGAAACAGCTTTCGTGCTGTGTTTCCAAAGGGACCAGGACGACTGATCCGTGTAAAGGAAAGAATGAATGGGGCCATGTATCGTGAGATTTTGAGTGAAAACCTCCTTCCATCAGCAAGGGCATTGAAGATGAAACGTGGCTGGGTCTTTCAGCATGACAATGATCCCAAACACACCGCCCGGGCAACGAAGGAGTGGCTTCGTAAGAAGCATTTCAAGGTCCTGGAGTGGCCTAGCCTGTCTCCAGATCTCAACCCCATAGAAAATATTTGGAGGGAGTTGAAAGTCTGTGTTGCCCAGCGACAGCCCCAAAACATCACTGCTCTAGAGGAGATCTGCATGGAGGAATGGGCCAAAATACCAGCAACAGTGTGTGAAAACCTTGTGAAGACTTACAGAAAACGTTTGACCTGTGTCATTGCCAACAAAGGGTATATAACAAAGTATTGAGAAACTTTTTTTATTGACCAAATACTTATTTTCCACCATAATTTGCAAATAAATTCATTAAAAAATCCTACAATGTGATTTTCTGGATATTTTTTTCTCATTTTGTCTGTCATAGTTGACGTGTACCTATGATGAAAATTACAGGCCTCTCTCATCTTTTTAAGTGGGAGAACTTGCACAATTGGTGGCTGACTAAATACTTTTTTCCCCCACTGTATAGTAATGCACTAAATATAAGTCGCTCTGGATAAGAGTGTCTGCTAAATTAATCAAATGTAAATGTAAACAGTACATAAACCAAAGGTGAGGATAGTGAGGAGTTAGTGCCAAAAAAAAAAGTTAGTGCCTGGGATAGGATAAGTAATCCTTCTACCCTTCTAACCCCCCCCCCCCCCCCCCCCCCCAAAAAAAAAATAACATTGTAAAGTGGTTATCCCACTGGCTATATAAGGTGAATGCACCAATTTGTAAGTCGCTCTGGATAAGAGCGTCTGCTAAATGACGTAAATGTAAATGTAAAAATCGTAATTGTCTTAATGAATGTCCTATAGCTACTGTATATTCTACACACAATACAATTCTAGGCATACAGTACTCACTTTTTGGTTCCTGTCACTGGGGTGCCTCCAGTAGCAGCTATACATCCCCCTACAGCATATTCGGCCACAGCTGTCCTCTGACATCATCACCACCCCTCCTCATTCACAGTAAACAAAAAGGAGATCCTGTCCAGAGGAGTGTGGATCCTGTTGTGTAGTAATCTGATCCTCTCAGCCTAGAGGGGCTGGATAGAGCGGTGGAGGGTGACAACACTCCTGGAGAACACCTTGTCTAGCAGCTCTGTGCTCTGTATGTGAGGAGAGGGGTTCAGCTCCGCAGAGGGCTGACTCACCACTCTAAACCTACACAGTGTAGGAGGAGAGAGAGAAAAAAGAGTAAGAAAGGGAGAGTGATGGATAAAGAGGGAATATCTGTGAGTATTAGGTCCATCCCTGTTCAATAAATTCCTGAATAGAGCTTCTATGTTGGGGGCCGGCCTGACTGGCTGCTGAAAGAGCTGACAATGGCCGACCCTGTGGGGTTCTGCGAGAGGCCTGAGAGTGAAGTCATGGCATAAAACCCTCCGTTCCAACACAATATGGGAGAACTGACAGTGACAGGCACATCCATACACAGGGTGGACGGAGAGGAAGGAGGAGGAGGGGGTTCATTGTCAGCAGGGGGTTGCAGTGGGGAGACTTCAACCGGGGGATTAGTATGGGGGACTGGCAACCTGGTCTTACCAAACCAAGACATAAAGCTTCACAATATTAAAATGTTACTCTATAGAGACTGGGGTGTTCATAAGAAATTAGAGCAGGGTGCCCAGTTCCCACAGAACAACAAAACGGTGAAATACACATTTAAAGTTACAGACTCGTAGCTATAGTACTTGAGGCAGTGAATTTCTAAATCGTTCTACAACTTTGTAAAGCAAATTGACATTAGACCATCTATTGATCAATGTCGGGAAGGTTTTGACAAGTCTTTTTTAAAGCATGAGCTGTTCATCCATCAAGTTAGAACACTTGTTGAGCTTCCTTGAAAATTAATAGCTATTACTGTAACTACAAGGCAGATGTACTTGGTCAATATACATTTCAAATTTGTTTTTGATATTCGCCATCAACATTTATCAGGTAAGCAAATTTACACTGTTGGTCAAAGGCTGAAGTGTGTTAAGCAAACTTCAGACCTGACACATTTAGTTTGAACGGGTATTTGGTCCACATGTGAAAAACACATCACGCTAAAGAAGTATTTAAAGAAAGAAAAAAGTAAGCCCTTATAGAGAGGGGCACATGCAGTGTGAAGGTATTCTGTGCTGTGGAAAAGCCCTCCGGTCAGACTCATGTCTGAGCAGGTCGGCAAGCAGTGAAACTCAGAGAAATTTGAATAGATTGCACCACATGAAACCAGATGCCTTGCCATTGTGTAATGTAAGATGTCTAGGTTACAACTGAACAGACTAAAAATGTATGAATGGGAGTGAATTTCAGGATGCTGGGGGGAACTCCCTTAAATCCACCACCTCTTGGCCAGGGCTCCCTTGAAAAAGAGACTTTGTCAGCTGCTACAGAATCACAGTGTTCACAGAATGTCATCAATACAATACAACAGTGAATAATCAGTGTGTCCTTGTACATCCAGTCTGGCGTCAATCATTATCAACAGATATGTGAATAATCCATAATATTCAGCTTCAAGTCTAGTGACCATCAACTCACACCTTAGCGGTGTTTACACCGGCAGCCGAATTCTGATATTTTTTCACTAATTGGTATTTTGACCTATCAGATCAGCTCAGATCAGACAAACAGGGAGATAGCAACAGCACCAAGAACATTCCGATAAACATGTGTGGGCCTAAAACAATATCCATATTTGTTAGAAGAAACATATCTGTATGCTGTATAATTTACTCCTAACAATAGTTATAGTAAGTTATGTTGCCAGTGTGAGAAATCTTGATATGCACCTCGCCACACATCAAGCACTGGGACTTGGCAGTTACATTGTAATCGATCTTTGTGTCATGCTCAGGTAAGCTTGGTGAACTAGCCGACACGGAAATAAGGGAGGGTTGCTGATCAAAACAGATAAGGGGAAAATTATTATTTTTTTGCCAAGATTCCAACACGTAATTTTTTACTTCAACATTTATAATGTGGTCATGATCCATAAGATCCTGGTCATGACAATAGATGTTATGTTTTGAGAGTTCTCATCATATTCAGTAATTACTTTCTCAAACCATGATGTTGGATCTAACCTGATTGTTTCCCTTTCAAAAATGGATATTGTTTTAGGCCCGCACATGTTTATCGGAATGTTCTTGCTATCTCCCTGTTCATCGTCAGATGTTTAGTATTCTTATTGTAATGGTGTGACGAGTACTGAGTATACAAAGAGGCAGGACGCAGACGCAGGAATTAACAAGGTAAAGTTTACTTAGCAATGAGAAAGAGAATAACAAAGAGCGAGTAAACGACACGATACTAACAATTACACACAACATCCTCCAGAACAGTCCAGGGCTAAATAGAGGTGGTGATGAGATGATGAGGTGCAGGTGCGCTAGAGGTGATTAGGGTGCGTTGGGTTTCCATTTCTGTGTTTGCCGAGGTGGTGCGCTCAGACCAGTAGCTCAGTAGACCGGTGAATCAGAGCGCCGGAGGGGAGCAACGGGAGGAGACGTGACAAATGGGGTAATTTAAGATCACTAAAGTTCGTATTTAGTTTAGAGTGATCAACATGAGAACTTTAAATGTGGCTTGACTGTCCTGGATTTTAACATTTGGAATGCTTTTAAAATACTACATTAAACCCACTCATGATGATATAAAAAGGTAATAAAATGCCATACAAAACTAAGTGACAGAAATCAGTATTTCTGTGGTGAACCCTGTAATGAGCAATGTGATTCAGAATTGTTTTAAATGTGTTAGTTAGAATGTGACCTACTGCATCACAACCACAGTCTACACAGCACATTTCACATGTTCTCCTCATTTGACCAAAGTTTAAAAACAACATTCCATCTCAGTTCAATACTGATACAGACTGAATGTGTTTAATCAATTACATTTAGTTGAAATAGGTAGATCTATTAGTCAATTTGAGTTAATTTGACAACGCATTAAAATACAGTAGGCTAGTGAAAGCTGGAGGAGTGAGGTGCACCATACCTTTAGATCACAGAATGTGTGCATCTCTATTGCAACACTGTAACGGTGATGTTCTGTTCATCAACTTGTTCTAGTCCAGTCCACTATATTTCATTAACTCTTTTCTGTGCCTGTTGTTCTGTTGAGCACTCCGGTTCTTTGTGGAAATCCGTGTCAGGAATGTTAATGAATCAGAATGAATGTGTGCAAGTTCCTAAAGTAGCAAGGGGGAGGGGTATGCCTATTCGGAGGGAGGTGCTCAAATGCAGGTAGCCTATAACTGCAGCACTAGAGGTAGAGGCAGGGAAGTTTTTCACACAACTCATTAATGTACTAAATATATGCTATTAACTCCATAATAAGAGCGTCAGAACACCAGGGCTTCTGTCTGAGGATGTCTACAGCACTATTCCATAGAACTTTAGTTTAATACTGTGCTACTGCAGTTCAATGAACTCTGAGGAAACCAAGCATACTTGAGTTAGTTATTATAGTAAACTAAAACTGAAACTAAAACTAAAACTATATCATGAAAACAATTCAGTAAACTGAAATAAAATAATTAACAAACCCATAAGAAAAACTAAAACTATACTGAAACAAAAATATAAATGCAACATGCAACAATTACAAAGATTTTACTGAGTTACAGTTCATATAAGGAAATCAGTCAATTGAAATAAATTCATTAGGCCCTAATCTATGGATTTGTAGTATTTTTGTAAGTTTTATTTATTTTATTTTATTATTATTTATGTTTTATCTATGGATTTCACATGAATGGTAATACAGATATGCATCTGTTGGTCACATATACTGTACCTTTAAAAAAAAGGTAGGGGCGTGGATCAGAAAACCAGTCACTATCTGGTGTGGCCACCATTTGCCTCATGCAGCGCGACATATCTCCTTCTCATAGAGTTGATCAGGCTGTTGATTGTGGCCTGTGGAATGTTGTCCCACTCCTCTTCATTGACTGTGCGAAGTTGCTGGATATTGGCGGGAACTGGAACACGCTGTTGTACACGTTGATCTGGAGCATCCCAAACCTGCTCAATGGGTGACATGTCTGGTGAGTATGCAGGCCATGGAAGAACTGGGACATTTTCAGCTTCCAGGAACTGTGTACAGATCCTTGCGACATGGGGCCGTGCATTATCATGCTGAAACATGAGGTGATGGCGGCGGATGAATGGCACGACAATGGGCCTCAGGATCTCGTCACAATACATGTATATCTGTGCATTCAAATTGCCATCGATAAAATGCAATTGATATTGCACGCCCAGCGGTGAATCAGAGATATATTAGGCACACATCAATATATTTAGATTGTAGGTAGGTATTGTAGTTAGGTATTGTAGGTAGTTTACTTAGGTAGTTATTGTAGGTTATTGTAGGTAATTATTGTAGGTAAGTATTGTATTCGGCGAAGCCCGGCAAAGCACGAGGCTAGCACGAGGCTAGCTAACCCACTACCTGGACCAACAAAGCTAGCTAGCTAGCGGGTAGCTACTGGTAACTTTTAGCAACTGTGGATAGCTGTTTCCAATGTTATTTCACGCTTAAGAGTACCTGTAATTGGGCCAGCTAGCTACCTACCATTCAGCTGTTTTTCTAACCTCATTATCCGAGGCATTAACGTTAGGTGGTTGGTAGCTGCTGTACTTAATTACAGCTACTGATTGCAGTCTGCCACCCAGACAGCTGGCGTCGGGTAAGTTTGGCTTTATACATAGCTTGGGCTTTGTCGAGTAAGGCTTAAACTATGTATTTAGATTGTAGTTAGGTATTATAGGTAGGCATCGTGGGCTGTATATTATTAGGTATTATAGGTAGGCATCGTGGGCTGTTGTGGGTAGTTATTGTAGGTTAGCATTGTATTCGGCGGTGCCGGGTGTAGCACGAAGCTAGCTAGCTAGCTAACTCACCTCATGGACTAGCTGGCGAGTAGCTATTAGCAACGGTAGTAACTAAATACAATATCCTTTTAGCCAGCTACATTTGTTCGCAGCGCCGTTGTTATTCAAATAAAGTCAACACAGTAGCCATTGCTAGCTAGCCAACACGACCAGCTAGCTGTACTGTAGCAGCTAAA